AAAAAAACCACCCCCCCCCCCCCCCCCCCCCCAAGCATTGGAGAGTCATTTTGGGCATTTGACTATATTTATTTTGGAGGGAAACTGATTTCTTCTTTTTTTAATCGTCAAATCAACGCGTCTACTGCACTATCGTTTTTTTTGACGAAAAACGTGAGAATTACAGTTTAGTCCATAATCACAGGAGGTGATGTGCATATTTTCAAATAATAAAGGGACATCTGTTCAAGTTACAAACTAAAAGAAGGAAAATTGAATTTTACCCTAAATTGTTATATGCATTTGGAATTCATCATATCATATATAATAGACGGAAGAAGGGTATGTAACTGGCCAGGACACTTGTTAGGTTTTCAAAAATCAATTATTAGGTTCTACTTCAAGGTCGGCAAACCACGAAGACAAATATGTTTAGTCAATTGATTACATACGTCGTGTCGTGTCCTCTTCCTCTTAGTTAAGAATGGAACTAACTAGCACGTGAATTGTGAATTCCAAACATAAATAATTTTTTTGAGTCTGCCTGCCACATCTATCGTTTGTTTTGCCAATTTTTATTATATTCTTTATAAACCACTATATATTTTTTTAAGGTGATTACTTGGATGGTCATTAATTTATTATTTATATCACTTTTAAATAATAATAAAAACGAACTATAAAATATAGACATTTTAAATTTAAATATTATTAATTTTTTAGAGTCAGGTCATGAAAAATTTATCGCTTATAAATACGCTACTCTTGACGCGGATAGTTTATCTTTAACTAAAGCTGAAAAAAAAATTAATTAAAATATGTATAAACTCACCTATACACTTATTTCTGACCGACTATTGAAAAAAAAATGTATTAAAAAAAATGGGAATTACGAAACGTATCGGAATAAGGATATAGAGTATTCATTTTCAAACATGAGAAGTCGGGTAATGACTGGGAACGAAATGTTATTTTGATGTTCTGGTATGTTTGAAAATCTTCCTTGAAGTAACTTCGATTTCCATGATTTAAAAATAGGGAGAATTTTATTTTATATTCTAAAAGATTTAAATTTTTTTATTTTATACCATCAAAAATAAGTTTTTTTACATTGTATCCTTCATGCATTAAAAGTGTTACAATGTAATTCTTCCGTTGCTTATTCTTTCAAAATTCACCTCATTAATATTGACGAAATGACTAACGAAAACTAACAAAATAGCTCTATTGAAACGCTTTGAATATAGAGGGTATAGGGTAAAAAATTTAATTTTTAAAAAAATAAAGTAAAAATTCTTAAATCTTTTAGAAAAATTTTAATCACACCCCTCTTAATTTATCATGTCTTTAATGACATCTCCTCTATTTTTTGAATCTTCAATGACACCATTGTTAGATTAAAAGACTTAATTAGAATGTAATTTTACTAAATTGTCTATATATTTTAGGAAAAACTTCATTTACACTCTCTCTAAATAGACATATCTTCAATAAAGACCCCCTCTATTTTTAAAATATTTGTGCGCATTAAAATTTGAGCCAATTAAAATTTGATTCAAGTTAATTAAAATTTAAGTCAATTAAAAATTATATTTTTTTAAGTATTAAAATTTGAGCCGATTAAAATTCTATTCGAGACTCCAATCAAATTTTTATCAGCTTGTATTAAATTTTAATCAATTTGAAGTAGAGCTCAAATTTTAATATGTAGAAAAAAAAAATTTAGTTAGCTCAAATTTTAATATTTAGAAAAATAAATTTTAATCAACTTAAATTTTAATTGAATTTTATGTAGAAAAATTGTTTAGAGTTTATGTAGGGGCAAATTTATTATTTTAGATAATTTATTTTTATTATAAATGGTGGTTTAATAACAAAGGGGATGAGTGATGTGTAATGGAATTATGGTAAAACAGAAAGAATATGACTGAAATTTTTTCCAATCTTTTAAGGTATAAAGTGTAATTTGCCCTTAAAAATATATCTTTTAGCTTTCAAGGTTTATTTTTAAATATATCTTAAAATTTGTTCACCTTCCGTTTAATACAGATTAAACCACCATTACCTCTAGTTTACTTGTAAATTAAACACATCATCCCAGCATACTAAAACACCTCCACGCACTTAGCAAAATGAAAACATAAATCTGTGGTACACTCAGTCCCAAGTAGCTTAGGTCCCACGTTATCTGGACCCACATATGCAGCTCTTTCATAAACCGTGTAATACACGCTCTTATAAGACGTGTAAAGTCCACATGCCAACAGATACAGCCCAATCCTTGCAAAAAAAGTCTTCGGGAGAGTAGCGTTAATCGTTTCAAGATAAGATAAAGCAGCTCAATTCACACACGCATTACTCATAATATTTTCTCTCCATCCAAACAACATAAAGGAAAATTTATAATAGTGAGCTTTCTCTGATCTCTGATCGGAACACCACCGCCGCGTCTTCTCTCTCCTTTTTTTGGCCTCTCAGAACTCTCCACATGTAACAAAAAAGCTGAAGCTTACATCAAAATATAGTCAAAGTTTATCCATTTGCCTCGATTTTAGCCATTTCGAGATTTTCTCTCTGCTTTTCTCAGCTTTATAGCTCCAGAGCTCACCTATTTTTTCCTTTTTCTGATAAACACAAGATGACGAGAAGACAACAAGATCAACAGTCTAGGGTTTTTAACGAGCTCTCTGCTTTAATTTGGGATATTCTCCGATCTCCTCCGACGTCGATTGACTTTTCCGATAGCTCCCGGGTCATGCAGCGTCCACCGGTGGAGGTGAGTTCATCGCGGAGGTCTTCGGCGGCGCCTATGCCGCCGATGACTCCAGCGGGGTTCGCTTCTTTGTTGTTGGGAATTTCGCTGGCTCTGATGCTGTGTGGATCGGTGACGTTCTTCCTTGGATTCATATTGATGCCTTGGGTGCTTGGATTGGTCATGGTTTTCTATTTCATTGGGATTGTCTCGACCTTGTCGATGCTTGGTCGTGCCATTCTTTGTTACACTACTTCACCGTCCTCCCCGCGAAAGGACACCTCCGGTGGGGTTTCTCATTATTCTGCTTTCGTCGATTGTTTTCATTTCTACTTGTGTTCCTATAGCCCCGTGATCAATAATTCTTCTTTTTGTTAAAAAATTTTGGAATATTGATTGTTCTGTTGATTTTATGCGAATTGTGATGTTCTCTTACATATAATGTTTAGATGTTATATGAATGATGATTAGAAAATGAATCTTACGAGTTCATTGTTAAGGTCTTCGAATTTGTCTACATTTGGTAAACTGATGCGTGAGTTTCATACCAGGGATATTTTCCATGAGCCAGAGTAATGATGATGTATTGATTTTGAAATGGTTTTTGTTCCTTTTTGATTGATACTGCAGCTTTGGGAATCTTAAGTTATACCTTCTGACAGATCAGATGGTTTTTGGATTATAAGAATATGGTATAAACTTGTTTTTAAATTGATGTGCTGAATTTTTAGGCTGGTGAAACTTTTTTATTATTTTTTTTTTGGGAGAGAGACTTAAACCCTTGACAAAGCTACTATTAGACCAAAGGCCCTCTCGTGTGAAACTTCAAAGTGTTGAGTTCTCCGTTTTGTTGCAAGATCTGGTAGCTGTTTGTAAACAAAGATGTTTGTACACTTCCTTGGAGACTTGGAGAAAACTAAGGTATTCCTAAAATTGGTGGAAGGAAATAGAGAAGGAACAGAATCGAATCCTTTCTCTCACTTTTATGTTCTGTCTGATACTGTTTTTGAAAGAGTAGAGATGATCTTATTTTTTCCCTGAAAAAAATTGGTCTTTGGTTTTGGAAGGGAATGGAAAAGGGATGAAATTCTACCGGGACTTTGTTCTCTCTACCATGAGGGCATATGTGTGCGGCATTTTCATCATTAGCATCATAATGTTCAAAATTTTTATACTCTCATTTTCCTCTCTGGTGTATTTTGAACTCTGAAAAGTTCGCCCGGGCTTTGTCTGACATCAAAAACTGTTGTAGTATATTCTTGGTTGTACTTTTCTGGGGATCTGCTCATGACTGGTTATGGTTAGCTAGTTCTATAAGTATCCCCGCTTGGACAAGGGTCTGAGGGTAGTGCTTTGTCCTTTAGGTCTTTATGGTGAACTTTGCTTATTAAGGAGGAACAGAAAATAAAACTTGTCTATTAGAAGTCTGTATTGTCTGTAATCAAGTCTATTAGCGCATCTTTTATCTACTACTTTATGCTTACAGTACTATAATGATCATTTTCAAGTTTCTAATTCTATTTATGTACCCCGTCTTCCTTTATTTAAGATTTGCTAACTAATCCCCTTGTTAATTTCTGAATGCTGCAGGCTGGAAACTCTTGTGAAGGTGGTCAAATGGTTGGGTTATGAAACAGAGATCAAGCAGCATGAATGTTCTTTTGGTAGGTGCTGCGTTGACCAATATACGAGCTTGGCTGGATATTGACACGGAGCTGTGGATAGTTGTTTCTCAAAAGAATTTACTAGAAAATGTGGATATGGCTGCTTTATTAAGTAGAGTAGTGAACTGGTTAAGCTTTTCAAGAAGTAATGTTTGATTAGATATCACTTAAAGCAGGAAGATGCCCTTCTGTTTCTACATGTCCCATTTTGTCTCAATGCCATATGTTACTATTTGTGCATTTGGATATGTAGGAATTGAACCATATTGGCATTACAACTTGCGTTTTTGCCTTCTTGAAGTGGCTTATGTTTCTGATTGATACAATCAGTCTTTTTCACTTGGGTTGGGCTAAAAGCTGCTGCCCTTTTCACTTGGATACTTGGTGAGCATCTTAATTTCCATTTTGTTGCGCCAGAATGATTTGAGAACCGAAAGATAGCAGGGTATTCTACTTCAATGGATAAGGAGCATAAAGAAAGAGAATAATTGTCGCCTTTCTCCCAGGACTGGACTGGTAGTGGGGCAAGAAACAAGAAGGTGATGCCCTGCCCTGCGGCCTGCTTTCGCAATCATAGAAAATGTTACTTGTGGTCCAAACGGTGCATTGAATTGCATCTGGTTGTGATGCGATTATTTTGGTTTCAGTGTTCATCGGTCCTTTGATGTCATTTGCACTTTTTCGATAGCACTTCTAAGGATAGAGCTTGCCCTTGCAAACCTTCCAATTGAATGATAACGTAGTTTGATCACCATTTCATAGAAGTTCTTTTCTGTAGAAACAGATACCAGACTGGTGACCTTCACCAAACTTTTGGCTTTCGGGTTGTGATGAGTTTAGTTTGAAGTAGGAGTCAGTAGTGTCTGGGTAGACGCTAGAACAAAATTACAGGTCATTTCAGTTCAGGCTGAATTGCAACACTTGCACCAGGGTTTCTGGGGTTGCTCGAAAAGAAAAATGCCCTTAGACATGAACCTGGGGGGCCTTGTGGTATGCAACTATTGAGCATTGAGGCTGTTTTGCTGTAACAGTATCAAAATGACAAGGGTTACAATCAAGGGGGAGAGGCTAAGTTGTGCGCTTCATTATTCACAATCAAATCAAATCGGTTTAGTCAATTCATTTTAGTCGAGCCTAATAGCCATCATATATAATTGATGGTGCCGCTAAAAATAAAATCATTTTAATCAAGTATTTACTTGATTATGCCGACTCTTTTTTTCTTTTGGTCCTTTAAGTGAGATTGGTCTTCTGTGACCAAATATCCTGCAGCCACAAATGTAGAAGACTATATTCTACAATTCATTTAAAGATGAAAAATGGAATGGAACAATAAGTTGAACAATGCAATAGACACAAGAAGCGAGAGCCCTTGACCCAGAACCCACTGGGGAGGAAAATTTCCCTCTTTCTTGTTCTCTGATAAGTGCATTAACCAAGGTACAAATGAACCTTAATAGCTAGTAAGAAAACACTTAAGAGAGCAAAGTAGAGCAAGGCATGAAGCATGATGGCCGCACCACTGGTTTGGAAGTTGCCGAACTCCACACATCTTTGGTGTCCTGGGACTTGAAACAGAAGTCCTGGCGATAATAGAACAAACAGTACCACTGCCACAAATACCATGCCCCAATCGGACATCTTTCCTCTCTCTCTCTCTCTCTCTCTCTCTCTCTCTCTCTATGTGAATTGGTGAAGATGGAAGGGAGAGTTAGAAGGGTTAATCTATTGATTGGGATAAAGAGGCAATGGGAGCAGAAATGTGAGGTGGAAAAGGGCTAATGTAAGGTGGGTGGGGAATGGGATTTGTGGGGAGAAGAGACTTCGGTGGGAAGAAAAGATGACAAAAGAGAGTGTGGGCCGGAGGCTACTAAATGAAGTTATTTGGATTCACTGCCACCGTCCCATTTGCTAATACACCATTCTCGCATGTGACAGCTTGGGATACAGTTTTGCATTTTCTTAGGCATGATTGATCCTTCACCTCATTCTAATCAAATAGCATTGATTGGTCCAGTTATATTCCGACTTTGTCACTTTCTGTTACACTTTGAACGCGCTTTCTTGCTCGAGGCTATCTTCGGCTACTTATTTTACATCGAATACCACATCGACCTTTTACCTCTCTTCGCCAATAAGACCCTTTCTTAAGGCAATTCCACATCGGAAGAGAGTCGTATTCCCCCCTCGCATATAAGTCCTTGCACTCAAAGGAGAAGGTACCCACTAGCGACCTGATCAGGTCGCTAGTGGGTACCTCTTCCATATGAAGTCAATGCTTATATGCGAGGGGGAGAAACGACTCTCTTCTGATGCAGGACAAGCTCCTGCGAGCGAAGAGGGGTAAAGGCTACTGCCGAATGCGTGCAGGTCAGCCGAAATCCTTCCGTGGGAGAGGACATAAATCCCCTACAAAAAGGCATTTTTTTTGTAAGGGGTAAAAATCTCTACGGATTAGATACTTCCTCCTTTGAGTGCAAGGGCTTATATGCGAGGGGAGAAGACGACTCTCTTCCGATGTGAGATTGTCTTAGGAAAGAGCGGAATCCTTCGAGTAGAGGGATGAGATCCGTAGCGATTTCTACCCCTTACAAATACCTATATGGTAAAATACACGTTAATATATATACATTGAAGACAAGAACAAGTCCGAATAAGAAAATACAAAACCAAATATTACGTGAAAGCATTATCGAACAATATTTTTATTGTAAGATGGTGATTGACAATTCCTCGCGTCCTCATGGCCCACACATTTACATTTTTCATTTNTGCGTGCAGGTCAGCCGAAATCCTTCCGTGGGAGAGGACATTCCGAACGCGCGGATAAATCCCCTACAAAAAGGCGTTTTTTTTGTAAGGGGTAGAAATCTCTACGGATTAGATACCTTCTCCTTTGAGTGCAAGGGCTTATATGCGAGGGGAGAAGACGACTCTCTTTCGATGTGAGATTGCCTTAGGAAAGAGCGGAATCCTTCGAGTAGAGGGATGAGATCCGTAGCGATTTCTACCCCTTACAAATACCTATATGATAAAATACACGTTAATATATATACATTGAAGACAAGAACAAGTCCGAATAAGAAAATACAAAACCAAATATTACGTGAAAGCATTATCGAACAATATTTTTATTGTAAGATGGTGATTGACAATTCCTCGCGTCCTGATGGCCCACACATTTACATTTTTCATTTACGTTGAAATTCTCAGCCTAACAGTCTATCCGTGCCATCACTTTCATTTCTTGAAGTGTTGACAGCCCATTTTTCTCATTTCTAAAGGAGCAATATTAAAAAAAAAAAATTTGGTCAGAAAGCGATATTAACATTTGCAACTTCTATTTTTTTTCTTATTGTTCGTACACCCCATAGTACTTTACCCTATACAGCTATTGGTTCCAATATAATCGTCTAGCGCTCTAAAGTGATTTAAGATAATAGGAATAATTGACATGTTTTTAATGAATTAGATTTATGTGGGAGATGTTGATTTGTTTGATTATAGACTGGTATTGTTCTTTACAGAAAACTCTGATAATTTTTGTTATCACTCGATATGTACTGCAATAGCTTGAAGCTAAAGGAAGATAGCAGGTGCCACTTAAATCCATCTGAGAGAAGCACTTCATATATTGTAATATGCCAAGCTTTTTCCCCATTTTTGCTCACACACCATTCGAAATTATCTATTACTTGGTACACCCCAAAAATCTAATCCCACCCCATCCCATCCCGTATGTTTTAAGTTTCCCCTGAATGGAGTCTCCATCTTTCATGAAGTTTGAAAATTGTAAGAAAATACAGCAAGTTTGACAAGTGTGGCATGGCTGGTTGTGATGGTCTTTGAGAGGTAGCTAAGAGATGTAGATGGTAGGAGAGATGGTGGTGACGACTCTTAAAAGTGATGATGATGGGTGGTTGGAATTTGCACAGTGGTAAAGTGAATGGGGCCAATGGTGACAAAGGTTAGACGATGAGTTTGAATGGGTAAATGATGGATGTTGCCACGACAGTGATGGTGGGTATTGAGGGCAAGGGTCATACATGTGTGATGTAAAACAAGTGGTTGTTAATTACTTGGAACAAGAAGATCGGAGAAATATTTGCATGGGTATACGCACCAAGTGGCAAGCCCATGTAGTGTGTATAACCAATAAAAAAGGTACACATGAACAACTTGTCAGATGCATTACACATCAGCATTTTAACAATTTTTTCTCCACCTGTTAGTAACCTCCGTCACCGGCTTTGAACTCCAAGAAACATGCTGAAAAAAAATTTCAGATCTGTGGCAGTGTATACAGTACCACTAATTTCAAAATTCAAATTTTCCACCACTTTGTCTTCATAGCCTGCTCAAAACTTTTAAATATCTCTCTCTTTCTTTCTCTCAAACCAATTTCTCTATCTCTATTTCATTCTTTTATCTCTGTCGAGGAACTGTGTTTGTTTTGGTTAACTTAAAAAACAAATATAAAAGATATCTTGAAGATTAAACAGGCTTGTTGGATGTTCTCACTCGACTACGTTGGTATGCTTGGAAACTGAGAAAGTCGAGCAACTATGATGGATAATTTTATTATGTTTAACTATCTTGTTCATATTCACACACACATAAAAAAAGTTTCAAGAAAGGAGAGAAGTGAAAGATGAACTATTTTTGTTCGAATAAATTGGTAGTGTGCCAATCAGATGCATGGATATGAGTTTTAGATGTGGAGTATCATCCTTTAATTACACTATCCTTCAATGCAGGTGCATGTTGAGCAAGCTGACTCTGCAACAAGCTACTCCATATGACGGGGATCCTGTAAGAATTGGATAGATATTGTAAGAATTGGATAAATATTATAGATTAGTTATGCGAGTTATTTAGATAATTTTAATATTTATCTTTTAAGTAATTTTTTTTAACTTTTAAGGGTTTAGTTGTCATTATTT